ACATTTTATGAAGCCAGTATTACACTTATCCCAAAACCAGGCAAAGACACCTCCAAAAAGGAGAACTATAGGCCAATCTCCTTAATGAACATTGATGCAAAAATCCTCAACAAAATAATGGCAAACCGAATTCAACAACACATCAAAAAGATTATTCACCGACCAAGTAGGCTTCATCCCAGGGATGCAGGGGTGGTTCAACATACGAAAATCAATAAACGTAATAAACCACATTAACAGAAGCAAAGACAAAAACCACTTGATCATCTCAATAGATGCAGAAAAAGCCTTTGATAAGATCCAACACATTTCATGATAAAAGCTCTAAGAAAACTAGGAATAGAAGGAAAGTACCTCAACATTATAAAAGCTATATATGACAAACCTACAGCCAGCATTATACTTAATGGAGAAAAACTGAAAATTCCCTCTAAAATCAGGAACCAGACAAGGATGCCCACTATCTCCACTCCTATTCAACATAGTACTGGAATTCCTAGCCAGAGCAATTAGGCAAGAAGAAGGAATAAAAGGAATACAAATAGGTAAAGAAACTGTCAAAATATCCCTATTTGCAGACGACATGATCCTATACCTTAAAGACCCAAAAAACTCTACTCAGAAGCTTCTAGACATCATCAATAGCTATAGCAAGGTAGCAGGATATAAAATCAACATAGAAAAATCATTAGCATTTCTATACACTAACAATGAGCAAACTGAAAAAGAATGTATGAAAACAATTCCATTTACAATAGCCTCAAAAAAAATCAAATACCTAGGTGTAAACCTAACAAAAGATGTGAAAGACCTCTACAAGGAAAACTATACACTTCTGAAGAAAGAGATTGAGGAAGACTATAGAAAGTGGAGAGATCTCCCATGCTCATGGATTGGTAGAATCAACATAGTAAAAATGTCTACTCCCAAAAGTAATCTACATGTTTAATGCAATTCCCATCAAAATTCCAATGACATTCATTAAAGAGATTGAAAAATCTACTGAAATTTATATGGAAACACAAGAGGCCACGAATAGCCAAGGCAATACTCAGTCAAAAGAACAATGCAGGAGGTATCACATACCTGACTTCAAACTATATTACAAAGCAATAACAATAAAAACAGCATGGTACTGGCACAAAAACAGACATGAAGACCAGTGGAACAGAATAGAGGACCCAGATATGAAGCCACACAACTATAACCAACTTGTCTTTGACAAAGGAGCTAAAAATATACGATGGAGAAATAGCAGCCTCTTCAACAAAAACTGCTGGGAAAACTGGTTAGCAGTCTGCAAAAAACTGAAACTAGATCCATGTATATCACCCTATACCAAGATTAACTCAAAATGGATCAAGGATCTTAATATCAGACCAAACTCTAAGTTGATACAGGAAAGAGTAGGAAATACTCTGGAGTTAGTAGGTATAGGTAAGAACTTTCTCAATGAAACCCCAGCAGCACAGCAACTAAGAGATAGCATAGATAAATGGGACCTCATAAAACTAAAAAGCTTCTGTTCATCAAAAGAAATGGTCTCTAAACTGAAGAGAACACCCACAGAGTGGGAGAAAATATTTGCCAGCTATACACATCAGACAAAGGACTGATAACCAGAATATATAGGGAACTTAAAAAACTAAATTCTCCCAAAACTAATGAACCAATAAAGAAATGGGCAAGTGAACTAAACAGAACTTTCTCAAAAGAAGAAATTCAAATGGCCAAAAAACATGAAAAAATGCTCACCATCTCTAGCAATAAAGGAAATGCAAATTAAAACCACACTAAGATTCCACCTCACCCCTGTTAGAATAGCCATCATCAGCAACACCAAACAACAGGTGTTGGCGAGGATGCGGGGAAAAAGGAACCCTCTTACACTGTTGGTGGGAATGTAACTAGTACAACCACTCTGGAAAAAAATTTGGAGGCTACTTAAAAAGCTAACATTGATCTACCATTTGATCCAGCAATACCACTCTTGGGGATATACCCAAAAGACTGTGACACAGGTTACTCCAGAGGCACCTGCACACCCATGTTTATTGCGGCACTATTCACAATAGCCAAGTTATGGAAACAGCCAAGATGCCCACCACTGACGAATGGATTAAGAAAATGTGGTATCTATACACAATGGAATTTTATGCAGCCATGAAGAAGAACGAAATGTTATCATTCGCTGGTAAATGGATGGAATTGGAGAACATCATTCTGAGTGAGGTTAGCCTGGCCCAAAAGACCAAAAATCGTATGTTCTCCCTCATATGTGGACATTAGATCAAGGGCAAACACAACAAGGGGATTGGACTTGAGCACATGATAAAAGCGAGAGCACACAAGGGAGGGTGAGGATAGGTAAGACACCTAAAAAATAGCTAGCATTTGTTGCCCTTAACGCAGAGAAACTAAAGCAGATACCTTAAAGCAACTGAGGCCAATAGGAAAAGGGGACCAGGAACTAGAGAAAAGGTTAGATCAAAAAGAATTAACCTAGAAGGTAACACACATGCACAGGAAATTAATGTGTGTCAACTCCCTGTATAGCTATCCTTATCTCAACCAGCAAAAACACTTGTTCTTTCCTATTATTGCTTATACTCTCTCTTCAAGAAAATTAGAGATAAGGGCAAAATAGTTTCTGCCTGGTATTGAGGGGGTTGGGGGGAGAGGGAGGGGGTGGAGTGGGAGTAAGGGAGGGGGTGGGGGCAGGGGGGAGAAATAACCCAAGCCTTGTATGCACATATGAATAATAAAACAATTTTAAAAAAGGCTAGAAACAGTGGTCATATCAACAGCAATAAGTATTCTTAATACCCAGAGAGTAGTTTTAAAATAGTATTTCTACTAAAAGAAACCAAGCTTGTTTGAAAAATGATTAATTCCAGGTATGGAGGAAAAAATGTTATGCCACATAGCAAAGAAACTAACAGCTGTCAAAATCCACATGTAGAAGTTCACATTCATAAAAGATAGGATGATTTCACCTTCTAATAGGATAAAAACTGTAATGGATTCAAACACAAATATACCTGAATCCATTAGTTTACGATGCTTTATAAAAACGATAATGATCTGGAAGATGACAAGGAACCAACTCTATCTCAAAAACCAGTGCTTCACTAGAGTGCAGCAAGTATTTACTTTGTCTTTGGCTAATCAAATGAAGAACAAATGATAGAGTTAGGCTATCACTATTCTATAACCCCTAATGAAGTAATGGACCCCTAATGAAATAATGCATTAAGAAGCAACAGCTGCTAACTCATAAAATACAGATAATCACATTATGTGCGTCTTTATGAAAGAAAATAATGCCATCTATAATCTTGCAACAATCATCAAAAAAATAGTCAACTTTTAGGTATAACTATCAGTTTAATGGAACTAAACAGTAATATGTGAAATTACAGTGATACAACCAACAAACTTTAGCCTGTAAAAAACTGTACTAAGCCAACAGCCCAGCTTGTACAGAGTATAAAGTTGCAAGGGAAAAAAGGAGGAGATGAAAAGGAATACTTTAGATAGGAATTCTTTAGAGTAAAAGATACTTAAAAAGAGATTTCTTTAAGAAAAGAAAAAGTAAAACATAAACTAAGAATGCATACTTGGGTAATGAAACTATAATGAAAACGATGTGATTACCACACAAGTCAGCATAGTAGATACTTTAGGGAGGAAGACAGACATGAACTTCTGGGGTAACTGGCAAAGTTTTATTTCTCAACTTCAATAGTACTTACAATGTTCTTAAAGATTCATTAGACTACACATTTGTTTTGTATCACTTTCAATGTTTTACACTACCATAAAGAAGATTCAAGCAATTTGTATGCTTATACAACACAATATGCAGAAAAGTATTATAAGGAAATAAATCAAAATGCTAAACTAAAAGGCTGGTTTGTAATTTTTTTTTCCTTCACCACAACTTTTCTGTACTTTACAAATCTAGTGTTATTTTTATTATTAGGGGATGGTGAGGAGCTGTTATTAAAAACACACACACAAAACAAAATAAAACAAAAATCCAACAACAAACAGAACTTAAATGACTTCTGGGTTAAAATTCATATATCAGTTTATACTGCCATCTCTTCAGAAAGTACAATTTCTAATATCCAGTATCAATTAGCTATGAGCAGCTATTAAAAACAAATTTGAAAAACATATACTAATAAGCATGTGCAAAATTGGTAAGATCTGAATTCTGTGGATTGTACCAACACCAACTTACTGGTTTGATTCTGTGCTACAGTAACATAAGACTCTACCACTGGATAAAGTTTGGACTTCTCTGTAACAGTTTACAACTTCCTGTAAATCTTTATTTAAAAATAATAAGTAAAAAAACAGTTTTGAATGTTTATAGGAGCAATAGTCCAAATAAACTACAATATCCTTACTCAATCCAATGATTTACCCTTTCCTAGCATTCTATTTTATTCATTTCTAGCCTGTAATGCTAGAAACCTGAAAACCCTACTATTTAGTAATACATTATTTTTTATTTTTAAAATGTCTATTGTTTGGGGATCTATTGAAGTATCAGAATTAATATATCTATTCCCAGAGTTTTCAGTAGTAATCATTTAAAACATAATTAAAAACAATTTTATTCAAAATGTGTTACTCGTATTTTCTTTATTTATTTAATAAAACTGCCATACAGAGTGTGCTGACACACACCTGTAAGAAGGCTGAGGCAGAAGGATCACAAATTGAGGGGCCAGCCTGGGCTACCTGACAAGACTCAGTCTCAAAAAACAACAACAACAAAACAAACCCCACCTGCCAGAGATATGACAGGCAAAAGTACCCAGCATATCTCTTTTAGTGACAAGTTGTTTACAGTACCTATCACAGACAAAAGAAAATTCTTTGAAAACAAATTTTGTAAAACTACTTGAATACCTATGTTTCTCATAGGAAGTTAACTTATATAGAATATCTAAGTTAAAACTCCTATTTCTATGGAAATAAAACATCTACATGAACAAGCAAATCTGAAACAATATAAACATATTCCAGGAGAGAACCTTCAGATAGCACAGGTATTCAAAACAAGTTATAGTACACATAATATACCTTTTGATAAGGTCTCTTAGGTGATAGGCTGGAATCGCGGCATTCACCACTGCTTTACTGGCAAATATATGATCAATAATAGCAGAACTGTTTGCCTAAAAAAAGGGAGAAAACTCTTCCTTAGGTTATTCAATCCAGTTTGCATTTTTGAGTCCTAGCCATGCAGCACCGTTGAGTAACACACAAAAGAAAACACTCTCTCCTGAGACTTTATGATCTTAATCATAAGCTTGTAGAGATGAGGAACATTTTTTCTCCATGCTCAGCACCTAACAAAGAGCGCTCTCAGAACATCTACCAAATGAGTGAATAAAACCAAAGTAAGCGCATGAAGATGCAGTGTAATGCAAAGTGAGAAAATAAATGTGTAATAGGTGAGTCGGGGTGCCTTAGGATGAGTCTTCAACTGGTTTTTTCAGACAGAAATAAACTATCATTGAGAAAATAAAGCAGTATTAAAACATTGCATTTGCCATATTATTCAGATTCTAAATGTCTATGGAATATAACATTTTCTCCTTGAATACTATGCTAATTCAGAATGTAGAACTGTGCACGTAAGTAAAATACCTACTGCCATTATTATCACTAAAATTTACTGAATACTTATCATGGGGCACAGAGTATGCTAAAAACTCAGTACTGTTCCTTTCTTAAACTTGATACTCCTATGAGATATATGTTATTATTACCCTCATTCTAAAGAAAGTAACCGTAGTTTAACGAATCTAAATAAATAACTTAGTAGGAGTGAAAGTAAGACACTAATGCCTTGAAGTCAAAGCCTATGCTCACACACACTTAGCAATTTTGCCTCTACAGAAAGTGATAAAACAGAATGATGATGTTTTACCTAGAGAGGCATTTGTTCAGGATTCCATTAGTACATGTCATGTCTCTAAATTTCACACAAATGTAGATGTGACCTACTCCTGATGAGCTGTGGGCCAAGCAGATACAGTCTGAAGAATTCAAAGACTGTCAAAGCTAATTCAAGTGATTGATCCATATTTAGATTAGTATTAGAGAAAGAATACTTAGCCTCTTGACTGCTGAGGGAATACCAAGGATAAAAAATGAGCTAAGCATGGTAGCACATGCCTGTAATCCCATCTACTTGGGAGGCAGAGATAGAGGTTGCCCTGGGAAAAGCATGAGACCCTATCTGAACTAAATGCAAAAGGGCCTGGGGGCATTGTATCAACTGGTATAGCACTTGCCTAGCAAGCAAGAGGCCCTGAGTTCAATCCCTAGTTACCCCCCCATCGCCCAAAAAAAAAAAAAAGATACTGATTTTACTCCCATGATAGCATGTTTTGGCCAATAATAAACATTAAGTATACCAGGAATTACCACACCAGAAATCAGTGATTGGGGGTTTAACAGAAATAATACTCCACTTGCTATAATATCCATAGACTATATATTAGATGTTAAATAAAAAGTTGCTTAATATTAACATATTTCACATCAACTACTTATTGTTTAATAAGAGTCAATAATTCTAAAGTACTGCATTATTTATCAAACTTCAAGCCTAAAGGATACTGACATCATCACATTAAAACCCCACAATACATTTGAAAAGATACTGGAGCTAAGTCCTAATTTATAAGCATACAAAAAGTTCAAACATCAGAGGTCTGGAACTCAGAACACATGTTCCCACAGAACAATGATATTAGCAGTGGTCACTATACTATAATCAAGTAACAAGCTAGTCTGTCTCATATCTAAACAGGCTACAGAATATAAATAAACATCAAGTACTGTGGAAAACATTCTAATCTTTGAGTAGGAGGAACAGAATTTGGACTCCAAGTCGGGAATGCCTAGCTATATGATCTGGAGCAAGATATTTTACACATCTGTGCCTCCAGTTTTTCATTTACATAAAAAAGCAACCAATATCCACTGTATCTTCATAGAACTGTTGACAGAATTTAATGAGACTGGGATAAAAATACTTTTATTAACTGTAAAGCATGATATAAAGATTATCATTTGGTTCTGTTAATACAGAATCTAATATAACTAAATTACTAAACAAAGGAAATTACTTTTGTTTTGGGAAAACTGTATTCAAATATTTACTACATAAATATTATCAAATATTTACCATATGCCAGGACCCAGGCTAGAAACTGAAAATGCAATGTCATTAACTTATCTGTAGCCTTGGGAGTGAGTAATGTCATTTAAGGTACCATAGGTACAGAAAGGGAAGTATGGAGGAGAGGATGCAATTGCATTCTCTGACAAAAATCATCATAAATTAAATACTCTTAAACTGATTAAGGACCACAAAGCAAAACACTAGTGCAGTTTACCTTCCATTCCTGAGATCTGACTGTATGTTTCAGTTTCATTCCTGAGAACATTTCCAGTAAAATGATCCCTAGGCTCCACAGATCAACAGCTGAGGTACATTCTGTATCACTCTGCAGGCCAGCTTGGGCCAAGCAATTTTGCAGTTCTGCTTCTGGAGCCCGATACCCGTCTGTCTGAATATACTTTACATCCTAAAGAAGATGAGAAAAATATTACAACCAATAAAAAGCTATCTACTTTCTATCTCTACAATGTATTTACTTCTCTAAGAGTGCTGTAAATCACTGAAAAATAAATGCCAAAAATTGTTAGTCCTTAAAAAAAATTTTTAGTCCTTGGCTACCATAATTCTTTGGTTCATTAACTGTGTAGTTCTCACAACAAGCTATACACTTTCCATATGGCTGCTCATAAAGCATTCTTCTTTAGGTACCTTCTTACTTATTCACTGCTGATAAATAAGGACACTACAAAGTGCTAAAAAACCATGAAGAATGGAGGATTTGCCCTGAAATAGAACCCCAACACTGAAGATACCAAGAATAACTCAGTAATTAGCCAAATGTTGTTGAATTAAAAAAAAAATTTATGAAGGATGGAGGGGGCAAATTTGACTAAGATATATTGTAAGCACTTGTAAATGTCACAATGTACCCCCAGTACAATAAAAAATTTTTAAAAATTTATGTGGGCCAAGCACTTCTATTAATTCCAGAGCTTTCTTGTGCCTCACTAGCTCCTCCTGTCTGACTCAAACATTTGTCTTTTGTTGACACAGTGGCAGTGAAATTCTTTTGATTTGCTTCATTCACAGGCATTTCAGTAAGCCTCTCCAGTCCCCATTAAACTATCCTTGTTATATTTGGCTTAGACCACTAGAATTTAAATTGTAATAGGAAAGAAAAGGTATTTTTACCTGATTGCCTTCTTTGAAACTAAGTCCAAAGTCAATAAGTTTAAAACATTCATTCTCTGCACTCCATAAAATGTTTCGTGGTTTGAGGTCTGCATGGACATAACCTTCCTGATGAAGAAAAGCCAGGGCCTCCAGAACATCTCTGGCACAATGCTGTATCATCCACATGGAACAACCCTGATGAGTGGAATATAAAAGCAATTCCGAAACACTGACATCCAGTAGTTCAAGCAACAGACAGCGTGATGGCACATTTGGAGAGAAGTGGATTGTAAAGACTCCATATAAAGTCACTAGAAAAAGAAACGAATTATAATGCTTTAAATTCAAATTTAAGAGTAAATTACTACTACAGTAGATAGCTCTACAAATTTGGGATAGTCTCAATAAGGGTAATTTTGAGAAGCAAGCAAAAGTCCACTATTTTTCCCATGAATAAGATCCTTGCACAACTTAGTTATTTTAACAAAATGAGACAGTCTTCAATAGCTGACTGCCATTCAAAGGTATTAAATATGGCATAATGATTCAAATTGTGTTTCACACCAAGCACTCAGCATCGAATGAATATGCACTTTGGAAACCAAACAAAAATTATTAAAAGTCCTAATATAAGTAACTCTCTTAAAAACAAATTCAAGATTGCTTCTTGATCCAAAATAGCACTCTATACTCAAAATATTAGAAGAAGAAATTAAGAGTTTCCATATGGCATTTTAACCTGATCTTGAAAACACTCAACAAGTCCTAAGGCCTACAAAAATTTTCCCTCTTCAATACCAAGATTATAATGGCATACCACTTGCAAGCTTTAAAAAAAAACTGCAATGCTTGCGTTAGGCAATTCTTCTCCAACATGGTATTGTATGGATTACACTTTATTAACCAAATTTATAACTACTTATAAGCTCTCTGATACTGTAATGACAACAAAGGCTGTTTGCATAGATCAATCATCAGTGATCAATATATGTCTTTCATACTGAATATCTGACTCATGAAACTGGCTTACTAAAGCAAAAACAGGGCTCCTAAATTTTACACTTCCACAAAGAGCCCTATATAATAGTCATTTCTTCCAAACACATACTAAATATGTCATCAGTTAATATCTATATGAGTTACTAGTACTGATGTCATAGCCCTAGAATATTTTCCATTTTCCATTGCAGGCAAAGATACACAGATTTCCACTCAAAACATGACAATCTAGCCAAGGCATGCCTCCGTTCACTAGAGAAGATATTTCCTATGCTAATAAGTGCAGTATTCTCCGATGACACCCCAAGCAAACAGGCTTACTAAGCACCCACTATGTGACACTGGCACCACACACCACCAGCTCCACGGTACCGCAGACATAATAAAGTGGAAGGGGGATGGGAAAAGGGACTGCCTCTCCGCCTAAAGGACGACAGGCTGGACGCCAGGCCGAGGGAGGGCTTGCTACGACTGGAACCTGGGTAAGAAGAGTGGAGGGAAGCGGTGACAGTTACCGATGTTCCTGTGACCCTGCAACTGCTCCAGAGCCGCCCTCTCTTTGCGGAACCCGTACTCCGCGGCCGAGGCCGCAGCCCCGGTGGTTCCTTGAGGCAAGAACTGCTTGAGGGCGCCGGGGGGCGAGCCGGGGGTGCCGCAGCAGCGCACCCGGTACACCGAAGCCGAGGAGCCGCTGCCCAGGCGGCTCTGTACCTGCCACAGCCGCCCGAAGGCCTCCAGAAACCGCGGCGGCTCGGCGCCCACGCACAGCCGGATCCCGCCATCGGTGAAGGCTGAGGGCACTGACGCGGGAGCTGACGCGACCGACGCCCGAGGCAGGCCGCAAGGCCCGCCGTCACATCCCCGCCCGCCGGACCAGCGGCTCCGCAGGGAGGGGCCCGCCGCACCGACTCCCGGGACCTCAGGCCGCCATGACACCGGAAACTACCCTGCAGCCGCGTCGCAGAAGCCGGAAATGGAGGAAGAGCCAATCCGACGAGCTGAAGGAGGCGGGCCTAGCAGAGGCGGGGCCTCGAGTTAATTAGACCAATGAGGTTTGGAGGAAAGGACTGAGCGATGTTAATTACTGATTGCGCCCTATTGCAGGCCTAATGCTAACCACTTTCACCTACGACCCCCGACAGCCATCATCAATAACTTCCTTTCTAATTTAATCCCGATTTTGTTTAGTACAATGATGTGCACAAAAGAAACACCTAGTTTCCCTTATAGCTAGGAGTGGCCATGAAGCACAAGTCTAGTCAATGACACATATACCAGCCAGGGATTGTTGGAAAGCTTTGCTTGACTCATGGTTAGAACTGTGTTTTTCTCCCTGTCACTTCCTTTTTCCTGCGTGGAAAACAAACGTAAAGCTAAAGTGGTATCATCCAGTATTTTTGTGTGTATGTGTGTTTAACTGACTTATTTCACTTAGTGTCTTCACTCATGTTGTAGCACAGGTCAGAATTCCCTTTCTTATTACGTTCCATTTTATGTATATTCTACATTTTGTTTATCCGCTTATCTGTCAATGGACACTTGGGTTGCTTCTACCATTTTTGTTTTGTTTTATTTTTAGCACATATGGCACCAAATCTTACGACAAAGGACACTGTACATTAAGAAAGCGGTCTTCTCTAGTCTTTAGGATCTAGTGCAGATATTTTTCTTGTGTGTACTTTTCTGCTTCTACCGTTTGATTATTGTGAATAATGCTGCTGTTAATATGGGTGTACAAACATTGCCTTGAGACCCTGCTGTAAATTCTTTTGGGTTTATAACCAGAAGTAAAATTGCTGAACTATATGATAATTCTATTTTCAACTTTTTGAGGAGCTACACATTGTTTTTATAGCAACATAAAACATATTTTACCTTCCCAGTAAGAGTGCACAAGGCTCCCCAATACTTGTTACTTTCTTATTTACCCCTCAGTTGGCATGGTACCACTATTTGAATATCATGCAGTTTCTGGCTCAGATGCTATACAACATTGTATAGATTTTATCAGCTCTACTCTTCAAAATCCTGCAGTACCTCTATCATCTCCATTTTACAGAAAAAGAAGCAGGGAATTTGATGGCTTTATTCAGGTCTCACATTAAGTGGAAGAATTATGATTTGTAATTACTTATGAGTGATTTTTAGAGGCTTTATTTTTATTTTTATCTTTTTACATTTCCAATTATGTCTTTGCTTTCTGTCTGGATTACTCAGTGATTATTTAATACACAAACTAATAGCAGTCAGCCCTCCATACCCATGGTTCTGCCTCCATGAATTCAACCAGCCATTGATGCATAATGTTAAAAGCTGTTGCATCTATACAGAAAATGTACTGACTTTTAAAATTGTCATTATTCTCTTTAAAAGTGCAGTGTAACAACTATTTACATAGTGTTTATACTGTAATAAGTGTTATGAGATAATATAAACTATATGGGAGAATGTATATAGATTGTACACAAATACTATACCATCATATATAGGGACTTAAGCATCTGTAGATTTTGGTTTATGTGGGGGTCCTGGAACCAATGCCTCATGAATACGAAGGGATGACATTTAGTTTACTATTCCACTGGTGATCAGAGCCATGGGAGAAATAAATTGTGGTCTTGGTTCTGCCTCTAACTGACCTTGGCAAGTCTTTCTTGAGCTTCTGTATCCTCATCTTCAAAACGAATGATTTAGATAGATTATCCCCATGGTTCTTGCCAGCTTAATATCAATGATAGTAGGAAGTCAAGGACTCTAGGAGTGCTAATGGTGTAGAAACTAGAACAAAAGCATTCAACAGAACATAATGATTGAGGGCAGTAGGGGGTGTAAGTAGGCAACAGATAACTCAGTGAATGAAATAGTAGACTAGATACAAAGAATAAAAACAAGCTGGGAAAATCATCCAGGCCTGTGGAAATGATGGGGGTGGTCTCTTGTTCAGAAATAGTTCTTGGAATCAAAGAAACTCTCAAAATTACATTGATTAATTCCATGTATTCTAGAAGAAAGCACTGGTATTTAAAAAGTCCTGAACATTCTTAATGTTTGATATTTCTAGTAAACTCAGTTTTTATTTTTGCCAACGGTGTTAGCTTAATAGATTTTTTTCATTCCATTTACTTAAAGTGAGATGTCTTAATTATTTTCTACATTAATGGATTTCAAGTGATTACATCAATCAATATAGGAATGCATCTAAAATAGCCTATGCCCCTGACTGGTCGAGAGAAACCTGACACTTATTCTCATTGAGCTCTTCTCTCTGCTGTCAGGGTGGGCATATCCTCCTATCATGTGCCAAAGCAAGTCTTACTACTTATCTGAGGGACAGTGGCATGACCTGGAACATTTGAGAGACAGAACATAGGTATTTGGGTATACTTGGTTTTTTTTTTTTCAACAAGTTGATGTGACTTTGTACATAGTAGTGAACTACTCTGAGTCTCTGCTTGCCTGGTCTATAAAAGGGAATCATGGCACCTATTTATGAAGAAGGACTTATGATGATTAAATTGAATAGCATTCATAGAGCACTTGGTACAAAAGAGACCCCCCCACACACTAAAATGGTTATTGTTATGTACTTGCTTGCCTGAATTACTCTCTTCACTGTGTAAATCCCCTCAAAGGAGAAGATTAGATGATTCCTTTTCAAAACAGTGCCTACTATGATGTACATTTTAGTCAGAGCAAAACTTAAAGATACATATTCTAATTAAAAAAATTATTTCCCATACAGTCCCATCCTGGTTTACTGATTTGCCCCCAAATAAGTCCAGGATTTTGGTAAGTTAAGAGTACTGTGGACTGGGGGCATGCCTCAAGTGGTAGAGCACCTGCCTACCAAGCAGGTAGCCCTGAGTTCAAACCCCAGTACCATCACAAAAAATATTTTGTGCCATTCATAGAAAATCAATAAACATCTTAGGGTGATTTTTCAACTACTTACAGGGTAAGAATTTTTTTCTCATGTAATAAGCAAAGAGTAAACTGGGTGTGGGCCATGTCTTTAAACCCAGCTGCTTGGGAAGTGGAGGCGAGAGAATTGAAAAATTACAAACATGCAAATTTTGAGGCCTGCCCAGGCAAAGTTAAGGCTGGAGACATGGCTCAAGTGGTTGAGTGGTTGGGCAAGCCCTAGCTTCAATTCCTAATATTAAAAAAAGCAAGAAATAAAAACAGAATAGGTCTGATTTCATTTGTGATTATCTTAAGTTCAATTCAGAATTAAATATCTGTCCAGCAAAAATACAAGTGTAGGTTTCATATTTAAAAAGTAAATTTAGCTGAGTGTGGTGGTGTATGCCTGCAATCCCAGCACTTGGGAAGTTAAGGCAGGAGGATCTAGAGCTGGAAGCCAGCCTGGGCTACATAGCAAGACCCTGTCTCCAAAAATAGAAAAAAAAGAAGTAAACTTTCAATTTCAGTTTCAAAAATAATATTTCATGCAAGAAACCAATACATGTTTATAACTTTGTAACTGCTATTTGAGTCTGATCTTTCACTCAGTAAGAAAATGTTTCTAGTCTTATATAAAATTTATGAAATATGAACTACATTTATATTCATATTGGTTTTGTTTATGGATTTTTTGGGGGGCTCAAACTATATTTTGAACTCAGGGCCTCATGCTTGCTAGGTAACCACTCTACCACCACTTGAACCATGCCCTTGTCTATGGTTTTAAATATTCAGTGTTAATAAAATTATTTTGTGGAAAACATTAATTAAAATAAGTGTTCGGGCTTTTACATAAATTAAATCAGCCAGAGCCTATCTTTAGAAAAATTAAATCCTATTTTGGCCTATGTCAATTATTTAACAGAAATTTACTGTCTGCTTATAAATTTATGAAAAGAAAGATTAATTTCAAGAAAGGTAAGCTGAGCTTAACTAAGTTTTTAGCTTCAAATATGAGACAAAGCTACTCTTGCTCATGAAATATTCCACATAATATAACTCATTAGCCTCTTATATGGCAAGAATTTATTTTAAGACTTTTAGACTTATTTGGATAAGATTTTAAAAATTCAAGGACATTTTTACAAAACAAAAGCTGAAGTTTACTTAACACTAATGACTTACATTAGAATTTTCTTTGGTTGAGAGAAAGACTCATATAAAAATATACTAATTAGTCAGTTGAGAAAAGAAGAGCTATATAAAAACGTCATTCTATATTAAACAATGGCCATTATTATCTACAAATTACTAAGAACATGAGTCACAGTCAGGATCTACTGTGCAGGACTACAAGAAAAAACCAGTAATTTAAGCATAGAAATGTTAATATAAAGAATTATTCATTACTGAAAGATTATTTACTAAAAAGAATGAAAGGGGCACTCTGGAATATAGGAATAAGAAATATAGGAAGCAGGTGTACCTCCACAGTTAAGGAAAATATACAAAGAGGAAACTAAGATTAACTTGAAACAGGTACCTGACAGATAAAGATGAGATTCAGATCTTGTTGGAGAGAGTATGGAAGCAACACAGCCCATGGGTTAAACAAAAGTTTGCTGGGGTCCTGGTGGGCCAGAGCTTTTCTGTAGGAAACTTTTTATTCAGATGCTAGAAAAAATTTATTAAAGAGAATTTGGTAAGGTATCCTCATAACACACAATAGGAGAAAGATTCAGCAATCTAGAACCAGGAAGAAAAGCTCTACTCTCTGACCGTGTTCCTCCAGAACCCTCTCTTAAATGAATTACTAGCAATATAGAGTATCTATACAGTATCTCAAAGCAGGCAGAAGAAGGGTGGATTTGGATCTGAAAAGCAACAAATTAATAACTGACACATCTCATCTGTAACTTCCTATCTTTCTAAGATGTGGTCTCCTAAATCAATTACTTATTTGTCTACTTCTGTTAGCACACCATGGTGAATATTTCCAAGCACATATAATTGCATAATTACATCCTTATAAACTTTCA